GACACATGAAACACGAAAAAGAAGAAATACGACACCTCCAAAAGAATGTAATAATTCTCTAGCAATCAACTCTAATCAAAGAGAAATTTACAAAATCCCCAAAAAATTCAAAATATGTGTACTAAAGAAACTTGTTGAGATACAAACAAAACTCAGAAAAACAATACAAATAAACCAGATATTCAGGATATAAATCAGAAGTTTACCAAAAAGATATCACAAAAAAGAATCAAATGGAAATTCTAGAACTAAGGAATTTAATCAGTGAAATATGAAATATATTCAAAAGTTTCAATAACAGACTAAATCAAGCTGAAGAAAGACTCTCAGAACTTGAAGACTGGTCTATTGAAATAACCTAGCCAGGCAAAAATAAAGAAAAAAAAAAGAAGGAGCAAACCCTAGGTGACATAGAGGATACCATAAAGTGACCAAATATTTGCATTTTTGGTGTTCCAGAAGATGAAGAGAAAATGAGAGATTCAGAAAACCTATTTAATGAAATAATAGATAAAAAGTTCCTGGCCAGGCACAGTGGCTCATGCCTGTAATACCAGCACTTTAGGAGGCCGAGGTGGGCAGATCACAAGGTCAAGAGATCAAGACCATCGTGGCCAACATGGTGAAACCCTGACTCTACTAAAATACAAAATTAGCTGGGCACATGGTGGCACATGCCTGTAGTCCTAGCTACTTTGGAGGCTGAGGCAGGAGAATCGCTTGAACCTAGGAAGCAGAGGTTGCAGTGAGCCAAGATCATGCCACTGCACTCCAGCCTGGCGACAGAGCGAGACTCCATCTCCAAAAAAAAAAAAAAAAGTTCCCAACCCTAGCAAGAGATTTAGACATCCAGATTCAGGAGGTGCGGAGATTCCCCAAGTGGATATAATTCAAAAGGGACTTCTCCACAGCACATTATAGTCAAACTGTCAAAAGTCAAAGACAAAGAGAAAATTCCAAAAGCAGCAAGAGAAAAGTATCTAATCATTGATAAAGGAATTCCCATCAGACTAACAGCAGATTTTTCTGATTTTTTGGCCTGAAAATTTACAGGCCAAAAGAGTGTAGGATGATATATTCACAAAAGCTGAAAGAAAAAAAAAACTGACAGCCATGTATACTATAGCCAGAAAATTTATCCTTCATAAATGAAAGAGAACTAAAGTATTTCCCAGATAAGCAAATGCTGAGAAAATTCATCATCTCTAGACCCATCCTCCAATAAAGGCCTAAAGAAGTCCTATACTTAGAAGCAAAAGAATAAAATCTACCATCATGAAAATACATGGAAATATAAAAATCACTGGTGAAGCAAACACAAATAAAAAGACCCAAATGTTACCTTTACAGAAAACCAGTAAACCACAGATAAACAATAAGAGAGAATGAAAGAAACAAAGAATATAAATAACAATTACTTCAATTAATAAAACAACAGGAATAAACCCTCACATATCAATAGTAACCTTGAATGTAAATGGATTAAATATTCCACTTAAAAGATAAAGACAGGTTGAAAGAATTAAAAAAAAGAAAGAAAGAAAGAAAAGAAAACACGACCCAACTATATGCTGCCTATAAGGAACTCATCTTTCCTGTAAAGACATATACAGGTTGAAAGAAAAGGAATGAAAAAAAAAAAATTCCATGCTGACAGAAGCAAAAGCAGGAGTAGCTATATTTAGATGAAACAGATTTTAAGTCAGAACAGTAAAAAGAAAAAAAACACGGTCATTATAAAATTTTTTAAATGAAATCATATCAAGTATTTTCCTAGGCCACAGTGGAATAAAACCATAAATCAATAATAAGAGGAACTTTTAAAACTATACAAATACATAGAAATTAAACAACATGCTCCTGAATGACAACTTAGTAAAGGAAGAAATTAAGGAGGAAATAAAAAAATTTCTTTAAACAGTTAAAAATCAAAACACAACATATCAAACCTATGGGATACAGCAAAAGCAGTTCTAAGAGAAAAGTTTATTATAGCAATAAACGCCTACATCAAAAAGATAGCTTATCATTATATAAAAAAGACACCTGCAGCACTTTGGGAGGTGAAGGTGGGCAGATCATGACATCAGGAGTTCAAGACCAGCCTGGCCAACATAGTGAAACCACATCTCTACTAAAAACACAAAAATTAGCTGGGCATGGTGGCACGCACCTGTAATCCCAGCTACTCAGGAGGCTGAGGCCGGAGAATCACTTGAACCCAGGAAGCAAAGGTTGCAGTGAGAAGAGATCACACCACTGCACTCCAGCCTGGGCAACAGTACAGGACTCTGTCTCCAAAAAAAAAGACACCTGCACTCATATTTATTGCAGCAGTAACCACAATAACAAAGTCATTGAATCAACTTAAGTGCCCCTCAACAAATGATTACTGGATAAAGAAAAATATGGTACCTATACATCATGTAATACTAAGCACCATTAAAAATAATGAAATTGGCTTGTCACGGTGCCTAACGCCTATAATCTCAGCCCTTTGGGAGGCTGAGGCAGGTGGATCATGAGGTCAGGAGATCGAAACCAGCCTGACCAACATAGTGAAACCCCGTCTCTACTAAAAAATATAAAAATAAGGCCGGGTGTGGCGGCTCATACCTGTAATCCCAGCACTTTGGGAGGCCAAGGCAGGCAGATCACAAGGTCAGGAGTTCAAGACCATCCTGGTCAACGTGGTGAAACCCCGTCTCTACTAAAAATACAAAAAATCAGCTGGGCATGGTGGCGCGTGCCTGTAATCCCAGCTACTCAGGAGGCTGAGGCAGGAGAATTGCCTGAACCCAGGAGGCGGAGGTTGCGGTGAGCCGAGATCGCGCCATTGCACTCCAGCCTGGGTAACAAGAGCGAAACGCCCTCTCAAAAGAAAAATTAGCTGGGCGTGGTGGAGGACGCCTATAATCCAGTTACTCGGGAGGCCGAGGCAGGAGAATTGCCTGAACCCAGGAGGTAGAGGTTGCAGTGAGCCAAGATTGTGCCATTGCACTCCAGCCCAGGCAACAGTGCTAGACTCTGTCCTAAAATAAAAAGAAATTAGCTGGGTGTGGAGGCACACCTGTTATCCCAGATACTTGAGAAGCTGAGGCAGGAGAATCACTTGAACCTGGCAGGTGGAGACTGCAGTGAGCTAAGGTTGCACCACTGCACTGCAGCCTGGTGACAGAGTAGACTCTGGCTCAAAAAAAAAAAAAAAAAAAGAATCGAATCATGTCCTTTGCTGTAATATGAATGGAGCTGAAGGCCATTATCCCAGTAAAATAACTCAGAAACAGAAAATCAAATATTGCATGTCCTCATTTATAAATGGGAGCTAAACAATGGGTACACATGAACATCAAGATTGAAATAATAGATTCTGGGGACTCCAAAAGGAGAAAGGGTGTACGGGGGTAAAGGTTTAAAAATTACCTACTGGCTACAATATTCACTATGTAGGTGATGGAAATACCAGAAGCCCAAACCCAAACTTTATGCAATATATCCATGTAACAAACCTGCACATGTACCCTCTGAATTTAAAATAAAATTACATTTTTTAAAAAGTACAAAGATTTCAAATTCATAATCAAAAAATACACCTCAAGGAACTAAAAAAGGAAGAAAAAACCAAACTCAAAATTAGAGAAGAAAAAATAATAAATATCAGAGCAAAACTTAAAATAGAAACTAAAAAAACCATACAAAAAATCAACAAAATGGAAGTTTAGTTGTTTTTGAAAAGACAAACAAAATTGATAAGCTACTTGCTAGACTAACACGGAAAAGAAGAGCAAAGACCGAAATAAAATCAGAAATGAAAATAGAGACATTACAACTGAAACACTGATACCACAGAAACAGAAAAGACCATCAGAGACTAATATAAACAGCTATATACTAACAAACTAGAAAACCTAGAGGAAAAAAGTTAATAAATTTTTGGCACATAGAACTTACCTGGATTGAATGAGGAATAAACAGAAAATATGAATAGACCAAAAACAGGTAATGAGATTGAGTCAGTAGTAAAGTCTTCCAACAAAGAAAAGTCCAGGACCAAGTGGCTACAATGCCAAATTCTAATCCTTAATTAAATACTAGCAAATCATATCCAACAGCACATCCAAAAAATAATACACATGATCAAGCGGGCTTTATCCCAGGGATGCAAAAATGGTTCAACATATACATATCAATAAACATGACACATCACATCAACAGAATAAAGGAATAAAGGACAAAAACTGCCTGATAATCTCAACACATGCAGATAAAGTATATGATAAAAATATGCACTGCTTCATCACAAAAATTCTCAGCAAACTAGGCATAGAAGAGCACAACTCAACATAGTAAAGGCCATATATGACAAATCCACAGATAACATCATACTCAATGAGGAAAAACAGAAAGCCTTTTCTCTAAGAACTAGAACAAGACAAGGATGTCCACTTCACCACTCCCATTCAACATAATACTGGAAATCCTAGCCAGAGCAATCAGGCAAGAGAAACAAAGAAAAGACATCCAAATTGGAGAAAAGGAAGTCAAATTGCCTCTCTCTGCCTATGATATAATCTCATATCTAGAAAAACTTAAAGACTCCACCAAAAAACTCTTAGACCCAATAAATAATTTCAGTAAAGTTACAGGATACAAAATCAACATGCAAAAATCAGTAGCATTTCTATACATGAATATCAAACTAGCTGAATAAGAAATAAGGAAAATAATCTCATTTACAATAGCTATTAAAAAATATCTAGGAATACGTTTAACCAAGAAAGTGAAAAATCTCTCTAAGAAAAACTATAAAACTATGAATGAAATTCAGGAGAACACAAACAAATGGAAGATATCCTATGCTCTTCGATAAGAATTAATATTGTTAAAGTGACCATAATGCCCCAAAACAATCTACAAATTCAGTGTAATGCCTATAAAAATACTGTTGTTTTTCTCCTCTTCTCTCCTCCCCTCCCCTCCACTCCCCTCCCCTCCCCACGTCTTCTCTTCTCTTTTTGAGATGAAGTCTTGCTCTGTTGTCCAGGCAGGAGTGCACCAATGCAATCTTGGCTCACTGCAACCTCCACCTCATGGGTTCAAGTGATTTTCCTGTCCCAGCCTCCTGAGTAGCTGAGACTACAGGTGCATGCCACCACACCTAGCTAATTTTTGTATTTTTGGTAGAGACGGGGTTTCATCATATTAGTCAGGCTGGTCTTGATCTCCTAACCTTGTGATCCGCCTGCCTTGGCCTCCCAAAGTGCTGCAATTACAGGTGTGAGCCACCTCACCCAGCCCCAGAAAAGGAACTCTTATACACTGTTGGTAGAATGTAAATTGGTCTAGCCACTATGGAAAATCATAGATTAAAAAAAAATCTAAAAATATAACTACCATATGATCTAGCAATCCCACTACTGGGTATCTGTCCAAAGGAAAATAAATCTGTATGTTGAAGACACACCTGCACTCATGTTTATTCCAGCACTACTCACAATAGCAAAGATATGGAGTCAACCTAAGTGTCCATCAAGTGATGAATGGATAAAGAAAATGTAGATATACAAAATGGAATACTATTTCACTATCACAAAGAATTAAATTATGTCTTTTGGAGCAACATGGATTGAAGTGGAGGTCATTATATTAAGTGAAATAAGCCAGGCACTGAAAGACTAGTATCACATATTCTCAATCATATGTGGGAGCTAAAAAAGTTTATCTCATGAACTTTATCTCCTGAAGGTAGATAATAAAACAATAAGATACCAGAGGATAAGAAGGTTGTGTGTGGGGGAGGAGGAAATGAACAAATGTTCCTTAATGGGTACAAACATACAGTTAGATAGAAGGTGCAAGTTCTAATTTTCAAAAGTAAAGTAGGGTGACTATAGTTAGCAACAATGTGTTGTATGTTTCAATGTAACTACAAGATAGGACTTGAAAGGTTCCCAACACAGAGAAATGATAAATATTCAAGATGATGGATACCCCAAATACCCTGACTTAATCATTACCATTCTATTCAACTCTACTACACCTTGCTCTAAAGAGTCCAAAAAAAGACTCTCATAACATGAATAGGGAACCTCACTTACTCCTTTCTCAGTTTTTTAAGCCATCCTTTGTAGTTTAATTTTGCCCAGTCCAAAAGTCAATTACCCTAATTTCATCTAAGTAGCAATTTTTTCAAGAATTGGAACATAAAGCATAAATTAACATTCTGTTAAAGCTAGACAGAGGTAGGTATCACTTGAAATCCATGACTTTGATGGTAAACTCCTAGTAATGTGCAAAATATCAAACTCTGTAGAATTCAAGATTTAAAATCCCACAGGATGGAAAACCATCTGTTCAACAATGACTCTTACAGAGAAATTACATTGCCTATTGCAAAGTAGTTTCATGTATCCCAGTGAGAAACTGTGCTTTAGACACTGACTCTTAGTAGTTAGCAATCAGCAACTCCAGTAATCATATAATATCCAATCTTCAAAAGAAAAAGTAGTTTCAAGAAAGCAAAGGTTAATTTCAGTTTGGATGAAAATTACATGAATGACTCACATAGAAAGCAATTTAAATATAAAAACAGCATAAAATTGATATGAAATGCAACTTTAAAATCTGCAAACTAAACTTTTTGAATGATTATACTATAAATTAATTTGGGTTGCTACTGATGATTAAAACGTAATGGGAACTCAAAACTGGATTAACAGGTTATGTAGGCAGAAAATGTCATTATAGGTACTACAAGAATCCATTTTTGTTCAGGTAATTAAGCTAATAACCTGGAGGAAATGAAGACAGTGGGTTATGAATTCTAGCATTTCTTAGTTAAGCAATACTGCAAACCAAAAGAGTTCCTGGAAAAGGCCAAAGAAGAAAGCTAAGGAGACCGTACATTCCTTAAAATATTGTTTCTCTATTTTATTTGGAAAATAGAGCCACAGATGCCATGAAAAGCTGTAATAAAACTTACGCCCCATGCCTGTGTAGATAATTTTTAAAAACAAAGATGATCATAACTCCCACAGTGGCATAGTGATTTCTTTTTTCTTTTCTTTTCTTCCTTTTTTTTTTTTTTTTTTTGAGACAGGATTTCACTTTGTCACTCAGGCTGGAGTGCAGTGGCATGAACACAGATCACTGCAGCCTCAACTTTCCAGGCTCAAGCAATCCTCCCACGTCAGCCTCCTAACTAGCTGGGACTATAGGTATGCACCACCATGCCTGGCTACTTTTTGTATTTTTTGTAGAGACAGGGTTTTGCCATGCTGCCCAGGCTGGTCTGAAATTCCCAGACTCAAGCTATCCTCCTGCTTTGGCCTCCCAAAGTGCTGGGATTGCAGGCATGAGCCACTGTACCCAGCTAATAAGTATAGTAATTCTAAATTAAAAACTGATATTTATAATTAAATGTTAAGATACCAAAATGATAGATAACTTTTTTTTTTTTTGCTGCTCCAGTCAACCAAAGGGACATTTTATCGAGGCTCCAGGGCCATGGGGCCTGGGCAGGAGGCTGCCCTTCCAGGAAGGAAGAGGTTTATTTGACCTTCTTCTTGGGCACAGGTTGTTGGTGTGGCCACACTTCCTCTTGCGGCAGTTGACACCACAGGAGTGCAGCCAAGCATAGCACTTGCGGCAGATCGTCTTGTGGCAGCTGTATTTCTGGGCGAGCTGGTGGAGGGAAGGCTCAATAATGGCACCTCGCAGGTGCAGCACCAGGTGCAGGGTGGACTCTTTCTGGATGCTACAGTCTGAGAGAGTGTGGCCATCCTCCAGCTGTTTGCCAGCAAATATCAGAGGCTGCTGGTCAGGTGGGATACCCTCCTTGTCTTGAATTTTGGCTTTGACATTCTTAATGGTGTCACTGGGCTCAACCTCAAGGGTGATGGTCTTGCCTTTGAGGGTCCTCACAAAGATCTGCATCTCTGCATCAACTGGGCCACCTCGCTGAAGTGATGGGTAACTTTTATAGGCTGACTATTAATAACATTAATTCTACTTGTTTTCACAGAATAGAGTATCATGAATTTTAAAAGCTTTCTAAAATGAGGTTAACCATATCAGAAATAAAAATTTAATAAAATATAGTAAAATGCATTACTAAAGAGGATACGGAATTTCCTATCTTAAGATTAATAAAGCCAGGAACACATTTATCTTGACCTGTTTAAATGAAGCCAGACTGAAAGCTTAAAGTTGAATTAGGTGAAAGCCAATAATCCCTTTTCATCAGTCATGTCTGTGGATTCTCTAGTCAAATACTCCAAAAGGCAAAAAAGTAAGTTTTGAAATGTGTGACATTCCTCATACCATAGATAATCAATCTATATGTGAAATAGCATACTGATGGGAAAGTATTTATAACAACATTTAATTGTATAGAAAAGGTAAAATATACATGAAAAGATAAGATATATAAAAGTAGAAACCTCAGAAGAAATTTTTAACTGATTTTTGAGACAATTATCTTTCTTCAATTTCAATATTACAGATAGATTTGATTATACTTTCTAATATACATTTATATATTTCATGTATGTTGTTTCATATATATTTCAAATACAGATCTACATAAATTATGTATATATGAGTTATATATATGTGTATAAATATATATATGTGTGTATATGTATTAGATATTTTGATTAAGGGGTGACTCTCACTAGAACTTTCAAGTCAAAACAAGGTTCTCTTATTCTAACTCAAATTAACAGAGATTTCAACCATGAAACATACATCCTAGAGGCTTCCCCAAGGCTCCCTTCTTTCCATCCAGTGTTGAGTGCTGGTGAGATACAAAGAAAAAAGCACTCACTTCTCATGCTTAAGGAGCTCACATTCTAGCAGGGGAGAGTTTCATGTAAACAAGTAATTATGACATGCATTGTAAATGCTAAAATAGAGATTCACACATAGTGTTTCCAAAGATCAGAGTGAAATGAATTATTATATAGGCTTGTGGCCCAAGGGAAAATGAACAACTACGGCACAGTCAAAGGAATGTGACTTCAGAGTTTCCAAGGAAAGCTGCAGCAGAGCTCACTGCTAAAATTTAAAAAGGTATTACTAAATTACATGCTGAACCTACTCCAGCAGGCTCCATTTTCAGTACCCATGGAATTTCCCTTTGTTGCTGGTATTCTCCTTACATAAAAAATTATCATTCAGCAACAAAAGCTGGCCAGTACACTCATCAGGCATGATGAGAACAGGACCCACATAATGTTTCAAGTCAATACTGATGACATCAGTTCAAAATCAAACACAACCAAGTCATCAGCACCATGCGGAATGAAAAAAAAAAGGCCATTTATCGTGTCAAAGGCTTTTAAATATTCAGTAGATCTAACAAGATTAATAAATAACATAGCATCAGTTTAAAGTCTTGGGAAACAGGCCTGAACTTTCCTTTCAGTACTTGTGCATTTAAAATATTCCTATCCCATTTTACTGTTCTTCTCAGAGCAGCTGACAAATCATTTCTCCAAACTGGCAAAGGGTATTGAAATTAGAATTTAAAACAAGTCAGCAGGAAAAATAAATGGGAGAAGAGTCTTCTTCCTTTTTGATACTACATAAATATATTATTAAAACATTTGCTTCTTTTTGTTATATGAACTTGATTTAAAAATAACTAACATGCATTAAAACTAAAAATTTTGTAAAATTTTTTAAATAGTGTGATGAATGTCTTTTAATCAAGGACTTTTTTTTCTCATCTTAATATGATTATTTTAGCTTTTACCAATTACAGAACATAAATATCACAGTTTTTCTGAAAATAACTCCTTGATCATTTCCCATTTAACTATTTTCAATTTTACACAGAAAGCACTTGCTGAGGAATTTGTATTCTTTCCTTTGAGTATCAAAATAATAATGTTAATGTGGTCTTTTCTCATTGAAGGCTGCAACATTGACTGTATCTGAAAATAACTTAATATGCTCTTGGAACTGTAAAGCCAGTCCCCCCAAGAAAGCCCCCAGAATCACAAAACAGCTGAAACTTTGGGCATCTTTCCCTCTCAATGTTCCAAGATGGACTTATCTTTCCATTGTTTCATTACACTTTAAACATTCCTATTTTGTTTAACTGTACTAAAGCATGTAGGGTTACCTGCCATCCACTAGGAAGGTTTTGTATTGGCATTTTCTCTCTAAAGACTATGTACTCCTGCCACTGTTTTTGTTTCTCACTCAAAAAGACTTCTCTTTTTAAGCAATCACACCTTACTACTAATGAAAGATTCGCTACATTCATTACTCCTCCTCTTGCTATTCTTAGAACTTTTTTGTCAAATACTGTGCTGGCACCAAGAAAACCCCAATATATTTTACTTGGTTTTCGTAACTATAACCTAAGCAGTACACTTCAATTCAATCAGAAAATGAGTTGTTATTGACATCCATTTATAATTATATTTATATTTATTTATATCTATATCTACCCATTCATCCCAATTTTAATTTGTGATCGAAGCAAATTTAGTTGTTTGGTTAACATGAAAAGGTCGCCAACACAGAATGGAAAATTAATGTAAGTATACAATGATTTTTTAAAAATTGCTTAAAGATAGGTAAAAATGATCACTTTGTGATAGAGTCCATGAAAATGTTTTACCAACAGAAACACAAGACTTGCCAAGATTATGTATTAATGGTGATAATACAAGTATCAGTACCTGGACTAATTGAAAATAAACATACCAAAATAAAATTGTAGAGGAGGCTGGGTGTGGTGGCTCACGTCTGTAATCTCAGCACTTTGGGAGGACGAGTGGGCAGATCACTTAAGGTCAGGAGTTCAAAACCAGCCTGGACAACATGGCAAAACTCCGTTTCTACTAAAAATACAAAAATTAGCCAAGCATCGTGGCGCACACCTGTAATCCCAACTACACAGGAGGCTGAGGAAGGAGAACTGCTTGAACTCGGGAGACAGAGGTTGTGATGAGCTGAGATGGAGCCTGGGTTACAGAGCGAGACCCCATCTTAAAAAAAAAATGCAGAGGAGAAAAGTTTTTAAATACTCAAAAATGCAATTATTGTTGATTGATTTAATTTATTCAAAGCACTAGACAAATATCTATTGTCAAATATGATAGACTAGATTGTGTTAACAGAATAAATTCTGCTTAATATACCAGATATTTTAGTTGACTGATTTTAAAAAAGAAAACCACATGAGACTGTTTAAAAATATATTTTTATTGAGCCAAAATATCTCTGAAACATGGAGAAATACACATAAAGTATGTAGCTTAGTGAATGAATTACTTAAACATGAATGTTAACATAACAAGACAACAAAGCCAATTACCACCTCAATTATCAAAGTGATCTTAAAGCTATTATTCAAGATAGTTAAATTCTTTATCTTGGAATCCGCTTTGGAAACAATACTTTTGCATAACTACCATATAACTAAACCATGTTTTGGTTTTTCTTTAAAAAATAATTTCCATAAAATTTGTTACAATTATACTCAAAAACATGAGAATCCAAATTGAAATGCAATACTTACAGGTAACATTCTTTAAAGTAAGCGGCTGAGATCAAAGAGAGAAGGCAACAGTTTTGTGGCTGAGTCTATGAAAACAACATATTCTTTTCTCTATTTCCTGGCTAACATTTCCATGCCAAATCCTTATCTGGGTCTCGTAGCATAGGTTTCTAATTTTTATTAGGTTTTGGAATAAAACCTATGGACCTTCTTTAGTAGAACACACATAATACTATACATACAAAATCAAGTTCATATACATGTCTCTTCTTCACCTCATTGTCACTCTAAAGCTAAGGTTTTACAACCTCAAGTCAAGAACTAACACAATATAGAAAAAAAATCTATACTAGGCAGAACATCGTTGAAATGTCTTTAAAACTTATGCCCTTTAATTGCATAATGTGGTAAAATTTAACTAGCAGATACAAGATAGCACCAAAAACATCTCAAATGATTTAATGTCCTTCCTCCACAACTCTTCTACTATCATAAAGTGACAGACAGCAAGCTAGATTCAAACTGGAAATAATGACTCTTAGTTTTGACATCTACTTCATCAGATTACACTAAACTCAAATTAGCAGACTAATCAACTGGCTCAAAATGCCATTGGCAGTAAATCCAATTCAAAATTTCTAAAACATAAAGAATAGCCATGTTCTACATAACTGTTTTTAGAGAAAGAATACCACCCTAAATCAAGGATGAATATTATAACATATCAATATGTGATAAGCTGACTATAATTCATTTTACATGGTCTTAGAACTGGAGAGTTCAGGATCATTAGCACCATGTGCAGACAGACTTTCACCTTAATCTGCTGATCTATTTTTTTTTTCATTCATCTTTTCTTTTAGTGTTATCATAAGAATTAGTGTGTTCAGGGCGGACATGGTGGCTCATGCCTGTAATCCCAACACTTCAGGAGGCCAACGCAGGAAGATCACCTGAGCACAGGAGTCTGAGACCAGTCTGGGCAACATAATGAGACCCCTCTCTACAAATATTTAAAAATTAGCCAGTTGTGGTGGCATGTGCCTGTAGTCCTAGCTACTTGCAAGGCTAAAGCAGGAGGATCACTTGAGGCCAAGAGTTTGTGGTTATAGTGAACTATGATGGTGCCACTGCATTCTAGCCTGGGCAACAGAGTGAGACCCTGTCTCTTAAAAGAAACCCACACACCTACAAACACACATACACACACACACAAATTAGTATATTTACTAACAAATTACTTTTTCTGTTCCTTTAGGAAGAAACCTGTCTGTGATTATTTGGTGCTGAATCATAAATACCAGCCTTATGCTTTAAAGAATATTATTCAGCAGAATTCTCCACTATGCTGCTATTTTGAAAATTTGCCTTGCAGAATCACTATTAGTCATGTAACTCCTAATCCATTCCTGCTCTTCTGAAACAGAAGATATCCATGTTACCACTATATTTTCCTGTATTGGTAAATTCATAATTGACTAAATTCCTCATCATTTTTCTTATCTCTCTCTCTTTCCCACTCTTCTTTTTTAGTATTAAATTTTCTTAACCAATAGAAAACTCTTACCCTTTTATCTGAATT